TGCCGCGATGCCGCCGCGGCGCCGCCCCAGTGGCGGCGCAGCGGGCGCCGTGGGGGCCGCAGGAACCGAGGCCGGCGCTCGCAGAGACAGCGGCGCGGGGAGAGGGTGCCGCCCTGGGTCGTCGACGCGATCGCCGCGCGCAGGCCTGGGGGCCGCCCGCCTCGTCGCCGCCCAAGCCAGGAGGTCGTTGGAGTTGGGGGCCTCCGTCCACCGGCGCGGCGGGGTCGAAGGGATAGGGGCGCCGATGGCGGCGAAGCGGGAACTCCGGCAAGAGTTGCGCGCGAACCCGCGAGCGGGCCATGCCAGTCGCGGAGGCGCTCGTCGCGCCGCCGCCCGACGTGGAGATGTTGCCTGCGAGCGCCGATCTGGAGAAGAAGTTTTTGTGGGGCCTTCGCCCGCGGTGGACTGCGAAGGAGATGCAGCTCTGGAAGGCTTCGGAGCGCGTGCTCGCGGTGCGTGCAGCTCCGGGGGCCACTCATGGGCGGCTGGAGCAAGTCGTTTAGCTCACTCCCACCCGCCCTCCCAACAAATAAGGAACACCCGAGCCTGGGCTTGTTCAGTGGTCGTCTTTGGATGGACACCTACGGGGAACCAAAGCCGACCCCAGGTGCGCGACGCTTGGGCGAGGTGCGCCGCTCGTGCCAGGGGCGCTACGCGCGCCAGGCGCCCCGCTTGGGGCCCGAGCGTGCCAGGCGCGCCTGGTGCGCCAGGTGCTCCGAGTGCGCCGGGTGTGCCGTGCGCGCCAGCCGCGCTAGGCGCGCCATGTTCGGGGCACGTGCAGAGTGCGTCAGGTGCGCCTGCGCACGTGACAGTACGCATTGGGAACCATGTCGGCCCCCGCAGTCCTGGTCGAAAACCAATGCCCATCATTGTGTCTGGTGGGCCTGCGCACAGCGGGCCTTGCGCCACCACCTCCGCCGTCCCTGTCAAAAACGATTTGACACTGATCGCGGGATGTCCGCGCATGATCCAGATTTCGCCGCGAGGTGCATGTTGTATTGTTCTGTGTCAGGGATGGTAACCCTGCGCGCGGCAGGGAATATGCTGGCGCCCCCGCCGTCCCTGTCAAAAACAATGCACAGTGTTCGCGGGCCTCGCGATCATGACTCAAGACTTTGCCCCAAAGTGTACTTTGTATTTTTTTTGACAAGGGTGGTGGGGGGGCCGCGTCGGGTTGGCCGCGCATGCTCCAAATGTGGAGGCAGAGTGCAGTTTGTATTGTTTTTTGACAGGGATGGTGGGGGGTGGGCCCTCATGGTGTCAGCGTGGTTCCTGGTTGGACGCCAGCCTGGTGAAGGGGGGTATACATAAGGAACAGTGATAAGCGTCTCCCCGAAGGGGAAGATGGGGCTTTTGGGAGAGGGAACAAAGATATCGTTAGACCACCTACGCCCAGTGCGCTGGTGGGATTAAGTAGATGGTTCGCTGGATGCGAAGGGGTTCTTCCAAGGCCCCGGTAGCTCAATGGCCCCTCCTCCCCTCCTCCGTCTTACGTCTTTCTCCCTGCTCATGCTCGCCATCGTCCTCGGGGGCCCCCCCCGGGGGCGACTCGGCGTCTTTGCGAGGGCGTTTCGAGCGGGAACTCCAGATTGAGGAAGAGCCCCAGATTTGGATGCGCCCAGTGTGGCTTCGCGCGCGCCGGCAGATTGCCCGACATGGTCCCTGGGGGCGCTGTGGGGCCTGACTTTCTCGCGCGCCATGGGTCGACTTTGCGGGGGTGTCTCGAGCGAGAGTCCTGGGCTGGATCAAGCCCATGCGCCCCGGCGCGCCCTGGCGCGCGTCTGAGGGCATCCTTGGAGGCTCGGGGGGCAGGTTTTCTGAGGACGTCCCGCGCGAACGCGCTGGTTTGGAATTCGTCGCCAGATTTCTTCACAGAAACGGAACAAGGGGGCCTCGGTGAGCTCTGTGCAGGGTCGGGGGGTTGGTTATCTGAGGATGTCCCGCGCGAGGGCGCGGGCTTGGAATTCGTCCGCGGATTTCCCTGATCTCCAGCATTTCCAGGAAACGGAACAAGGGGAGGCGGTTTGCTGGCCCATGCCCTCGCGCGCCGGAGGGCGCGGAGGTCAGGGTGACCCGAATCTTAGGACGAGCTCCCTCAAATTAAGATTGACCCTCGCAAGTTCCAGCTTGCTGTGCCATGTCCATGGGGGGCCCACATATTGCGCCTGCGCCCAATCACCCGCGCGAAAGTGCCTCTGCAGTCTCTTTCTCGAGTCTTTGCCATCCCAGCGGATGGTTCACGAGATTCCGTTCGCCGCTGCCAGCCCCGCCAACCAGCTGGCCGCTTCTGCCGCCAGCGGTTGGGCCGCGCGGTTGGCCTCGCCGCCCTGCCCAGCTTGTTTGTGAGAGCCGCGGCGCACTAGCGGGGTGTGCCCCGAGGCAGCGCCGCCACCGGCGTGCCCAGCGGTCATTTGCGACTGCGAGGGCGCGGAGTGGCCGGCTGGCGGGGCGGGGCGGCAGCGGGTGGGGCTCTCGCTTTCAGCCGCGCTGGGCAACGGGCTCGCGGCGGCCGCGAGCTTCGCCGCCGGAGCGGTTTGGGCGATGGGGGTGCCGGAGAGGCGCCCGGCAGCTGGGGCCTCGGCCAGCCTCGCAGCCCGCCCGCCGTGGCGCCGGAATTGGCGCGTCATGGGTTGTGCCGCGCTCGCCTTGTTCGTTTGTTTTTTCGGTGGGGCGCGGGGCCCGAGTTCGAGGGGTCTGCCTGGGTGTCCCGCCGCGGCTAGCGGCTCGTGAGGATCGATGGTGGCGGCGGCGGGGGCCCGGTTGTCGCTCGACTTTCCCGAGCTCCAGGTGGCGCGTGAAAGTGCTGCGGGTCCGCCTGGCGGACGAGCGCTGGGCGGGCTGGGCGCTGGATCTGGGCGTGGTCGTGGTGAACCAACCTGGCCAACCGCAGCGCGGTTCCAATCCCGAGAAGGGCCCCCGCTCAGGCGCGGGTGCGCGGGAATCTGCGCGGGCTGGACGCGCTGACGGACGACGGGGTGGCGGCTGTGACGCTCGAGGCGGACGCGCTGGGCAACGAGCTGGGGGCCGCGCCAGCGGGGGTGGGGGCGGCGCCGGCCGCGGGGGGCCTGGTGTCCGACTGGCGCTTCGCGGACAGCGTGCGAGGTGCTCGGGGGGGCGGTGCTGCCGCTGTTCGCCAGGTGCCCGCCGAGGCAACGGGCTCGAGGGACCGCTCACTCGCGGAGGTCGGGGATGACGGAGAGACTGCCGAGACGTTCGTGGAGAGGGTCGGCGGTCAGGGCCCCGACGAGTGGTGCGAGGGGGAGGGGTCGTGGCCAGGACAAGACCCTCGAGTGCTATCGACAGTTAAGCGCGAGGTCGGCCGAGCAAGGTGCCTCTCGATGCGGGAGGGCCTGGCCCCCGTGAAGCTCTTCGAGACCGGGGAGACACCGGGCGACTGGCCGTTCCTGGCGAAGGCGCCGTCCGCAATCCGAGAGGTGTTGCTGGCGGCTCTGGCCGCGAAGGAGGAGCGGGCGGGGTGCCTCGACTGCTGGGTGCGTGCGTCGGGTGTGAATCCCGATCCGCCAGTGGCGATGGAGTTCAGGGACCTGATGACGATCCTCCCCCGCGCGCTGAGCCTCGTTCAGTTGCGCCTCGGCCAGCTCGCTTCCGTGGAGATGATCGGCCGACTCATTCTCCAGATCCACCAGGCGACGAAGCGGAACCCCCAGATCCCCGATTTCCGCGGGGCCGACCTGATGACCGGGTCGACCCTGGACTCGCCCGGCGGAGTGTTCTCGGGAGAGTTCGCGCCCTGGACGGCCGAGGAGCAGAAGACGGTGGCCATCGCAATAGAGCAGCAGCGCCTGGGCTGGCAGGAGGCGGGCAAGCGGTGTGGCAACAAGGACAAGGACAGTAACGAGGACAATGACAAGGACAAGGACAAGGACAAGTCGAGGCTCGCCAGTCGAGGCGTTCTGGTGCTCTTCTTTTGCGGCGTTGTCATGGTCGTCGGGGGCGGGCCGCTTCCGTTGCCGCTTTGCCTTGGACAGGCAGCGGAGAGTCGAGGTGGGGTCTGTCATCTCACCCGGCAGCAGCGCCAGCGGGCAAAGACCGAGTCGCTGGTCGAGGGGGCCGTGGCGTCACTCAACGCCTTGGCATGCTGCTGGCCTGAAAATCAAGGGTTCTTCATGCCGAAGAGCCTCGCCGTCTTTTTGATGCTGGTATCGCGGCTGTGCAGGGCGCGGTGTTGTGCAGCATGACCAGAGCAGCTAAACAGTTTATGCCTGCGCCCGTCGTGGCGGATGGGGCTCCCGGGTGGAACTCTGGTCGAGCTGGTGCAGTGTGAGTCTATCTACGACCTGGGCGAGAATTCAGCTCGGGCGGACCGCGACTCCACGAAGCTCAGGGTTCTCGAGTGGACCTCCGTGCCGCGGGTCGCCTTGGACGTGGTTGGCGACGAGTGCCGCAGGTGCCTCCAGGACCCCGACCACCTCGTCGTTCCCCCGTCCGACGAGCTCGCCGCGGTCGACGACCCGGTCAGGGCGCTGCTCGGCGAGGTTCCGTCCAGCGCCTTGGTAAGGTCGGGCGCGGCGGCGGCGGAGTGCGGGGCGTTCTTCGTCAAGAAGAAGGGGGGCGTGTTCAGGCTGGTCCTGGTTTGTCGGCCGACGGGCCAGCTCCGTCGACGGGCTCCCAAGTCGCTCCTGGCGACGCCAGGGGCGCTGGGCAACCTCGTGCTCTTGGACGAGTGGTTCTAGCTCTCGGCGGAGGTGCTGGGCTTCGAGTTTGCGCCCGACGCGGCTCTGGAGGCCGCCTGCGCGGGCGTGGGCCTCAAGCGTGGGTTCCACCAGTTCAGGGTCGACTTGGTCGCCAGGCGGCTCTCTCTATACCGCCGCCGAGGCCGGGGTCGCCTCCGTCTATAGCCAGGAGGAGAACGGCTTCGCGGAGGTCGCCCCGGAGGATCGCCTCCGGGCCTGCTTGGGCGGGCTGCCGATGGGCTGGAGCTGGGCGCTGTTCGTCTGCCACTGTGCGTTGGGGGCAGCGGCCCGGCGGGCTCTCGCGAGCCTGCGCCTGCCCGTGGCCTCGCCCGCTGGCTGGGCTCCCTGGCCGTCCTTCTGCCGCGCCTCGGTCTTCTTTGCGCTGTGCGCGGACGACGGGGACATCATCGTCGCGGGGCCCCCAGAGGCCGCGCCGCGGGGCTGCGGCGCCTTCCGCTCCGAGCCGCCGCGGCTCGGCTTCGCCCTCCGCGAGGAGCAAGGGCCCCGGCCCGACTTCGAGCGCCAGGTGGTCAGCCGCCTCGTCGAGGCGGGGGCTGCTCTCGTGCCTGTGCTTCGCCTGCCGCCTCATCGGTCGGGGTCGGCCCCGCGCGGAGGCTCGACGCGGCGACTTGTGAGGTGCTTCGCATCTTCCAGGGCTTGCTGCTACTTGCCGTCGTGGAGCTCGGGCGGGGCGTCGCGAGCGTCGCGTGCTACTCCGTCGCCTCCGAGCACAGTTTCGCCGTCTATCGGACCCCCGTCTCCGACGGCAGGACCCGTAACCGCGAGGCCCGCGCCGCTCTCATGGGGCTCGAGGAGTGCCGCGTCGATCCGGGCCACCACTCCACCGTCCTATTGCCCGTGGGCGACAACGTGCCCGAGGTCTCGGCGACGGGGCGGGGGGGGGGTGCGCGCGCGGGGCTCCCTGGCGCTGGCCCGACGCGCGAGGGCTTGGCAGGCGGCGGGCGACGTCCGCTGGGCGCGGCGCCACATCGAGACGCACCGCGACCGGAGCGACTACGGCATTCGACTACCTCCCCTTCGGCCAGGCGAGGCCCGGCGCGGGGCGGCGGCTCGCCAGCTGGGCTCCAGGCGGCCGCGGGGCGCTTTGCTCGCGGAGGAGCGTGCCCCAGCGCCGCCCGGCCCGGGCGCCGCCGCCCCCGCGGCCGACCCGCTGGATCGGCTGTCCCCAGCCCGGCGCCGCCGAGGGCGGCAGCCGCGGGAGCCCTGCGACCGCCGCCCGTTTCAGCAGCCGCAGTGCTGCCTGGAGCTCTTCGCGGGGTTCGTGCGGCTCGCCGTCTGCGTCGCCGCGCTCGGCCTCGCCGTCGCCGTGCTGGTCGACGACGAGCTCGGGCCGCACTTCGATGTCAGCGGTCCCGAGGTCGCAGACGTCATCATCGGCTGGTTCAAGGGCGGGCTGGAGTGGGCCGTCGGCCTGGGCGCGCCCCGCCAGGCGCGCCCAGTGCGAAGGAGCCGTTGGACGCACCAGGGTGGCCTGCGCGCGGCTCATTGTGCGCGCGCTGGATGCTTGTGCTCGGCATGGCGCGCGCGTGGTGCTGGAGAACCCGTGGGCGTTGTGGCTCGCCTCCGACGTCGAGCACTTCGGTTCCGTGGCGTGACGGTGCCCGGGCTGTCAGCGGCGCAGTGGGCAGCGCGCCCGGCGTCCCGACGTCAAGGAGCCAGGGTTCCTGCGCGAGCTCGTGGTCGCAGCTGCGACCTGCAGAAGGTATGCGCAGTGCTGCGCTGCGGTCGCTCACGCGGTCGGACGCTTGCCCAGGAAGGACAACTGCGGCGCCTGGGGCCGCATCGTGGTGGACTGCGCCAAGGGCCTCTACCGCGCGGGTTGCATGGCCACAGCCGCAAGATGCGGCTTCCACGGGGTCGTGTTCGTCAGCGATTGGCCTCGGCGCTCCGCAGACCTGCTGCCCGCGACCCGGCTGTCCATCCAGGCCTTCGCGAGGTCGTCGCCAGGGCAATGCCGCTACCGGGCCGCGATCGAGCACGTGCTGCTCGTGCTTGCCTACTTCCTCGACTGGGCAGTGGGCGAGGGCTGCTAGCGCGTGGCCTTCATGGCCGCCCACGGGGCCGCCAGCTTCGACGGCTACTTCCGGCCGTCCGAAGGCCTCGACCTCGCCGCCGCCGCCGTGGAGCGGCCGCGCCATGGCGCTGCTGCGCAGGACTGGAGCATCAACGTGGCGCTGGCGTGGGTCGACGCCAAGCCAGCGTGCTCGTGGGTGTCCACGGCCGGTCGTGGGTCGGCGAGGTGCTGGAGTTTCTGGTGGTCGGCCTCGAGCCGAGCGAGCGGGTGCTCCAGGCGCTCAAGCCGGCCGACCAAGAGAAGGAGTACCGGGCCGTCTCCGCCGCTCTCGGCATCCGCGTGGCCCCGTGGAAGTTTCGGCATGCTGGCCCGTCTCGCGATGCTGTTGTCCATGGTGAGGACGTCCAGGCACGTGGACGCTGGGCCTCGTCTGGAGTCGCGTCGGATCTACGCAGAGCCCGCGACCCTGGTGCGGTCTCTGAATGCCGTGAGTGACGACCTCCTCTACCGTGCTCTCGCTCGGAAGGCGACCTTCGGCCGGGGGCTCTTGAGCGTGCCGCGAGGGGCTTTGAGTCCCGCCTAGTCAAGGTAGACTCAAGCGCAAGACTGCGAGTGCTGGTGTATAGTGGTGCCGTCTCCCACAGAGACGGCCAGCTGCGCGGCGTGCGACCGCCCGGGCACTTCGCTTGCTGCGCGAGCGCCGGCTTCCAGGACAAGTGAATGTCGTCGCTGAGCTTTCGCTCATTCAGCCGGGGCCGAGGCACGTGGGACGGTTGGGTTGTATATTGCGCCTGCGCCCTATAACCCTCACGAAAGTGCCGTTGCAGCCTTGTTCTCGCCACTCTCCCCCGTGTGCGTGCGGGGCCCAGCGGTGTCTTCCAATGGTGTATAGTGGTGCCGTCTCTCGCAGAGACGGCCAGCTGCGCGGCGTGCGACCGCCCAGGCACGTCGCTCGCTGCGCGAGCGCCAGCCTCGTGGAAAAGTGAATGTCGTCGCTGAGGTTTCGCTCATTCCGCCGAGGCCGAGGCACGTGGGACGGTTGGGTTGTGGATGTAAAGAACACGCGTCTCATATGTCATGCAATGTGAGGTTGTCCTTACCCCTCGTCCGCACTGCTTGGGGCATCCTTGCCGCCAATGCTGGATTTGGCTCGAAGTGTTGGCCAGGACTGCACAGTGGATGTCATTGGAGCCGATATCAGGGAGCGTCGAGATAGCCCCATGATGCCGAAAACAAGTTTTCGCAGGGTGCCCAGGTGCTTCCCGCAAGCGCTTCCCGAACCCCAGAGGGCCAGCGTAGTGTTGTTGTCCAGCAGATCGTGCTGCCTGCCAGAGGTGAAACCCGCTCGTTGTCGCATCGCATCCCCTCCTCGTCCCCCTCCTCGTCCTCCTCCTCCTCCTCCTCGCCGTAATTATCTGACCTCGTCCTCCTCGTCTTCCTGGCTCTTCCTCGCCCTCCCCCTCCTTTCCTCGCGTCCTCCTCCTCCCTCCCCTCCCGCTCTATCTTGGTCCGTGCCAATTTCTTTTTCCGGTCAAGATGCTTCCAAGCGGAGGGCCCAAGAAACCCCGGAAACATTTTGATACAAACGAGTCATCGAGTCAGATTTTCTATTCAGGTGTCCCCGTTGCCCCTGAGAGCAGGCGTCGCGTCAGCCAGCGTGGCGCCTTGGCCGCATTTGATAACGGTTGGAACTGCGATATCGCCAAGATGCATATATTTGTTGTTGCCCTGCTTGCGCTTGGTTGCGGTTGCACTGAACAAACTTGATTCGGTTTGGCAGGCAGCGCCTGCGCCATGCGGAGCAGCTCGTATGCGGAGCCAACGGATTTTACCCACATGTTTGCTTATGCTGTCAGGGATAATACTTGCCCCCACACTGATGCACAGAGTGCGTTGTTTCTGTGCCCCAGGGAGGTCAACCGATGCATATACGGGAAGTCATTCTGAGTCTTCAGGAGACTCTCTGGTAACCTCCAAAGGTTCACAATATGCTATTCGGGTTCTTGCGGACATCCGTAGGATTTATAAGAGGGCCTTTTCTATTTTTCCTCAGCGCATCAATTCAAGTCTTGTGGAAACCCTTACGATTAGGATTTTCAAGAGTCCTTAAGGGACCCTGGGAGTCAAATGGAGGCTTCGGGATTCCCAGCGTTTTTCCCAAACATCCTGTGTTGGGTCTTCGTTTTGAACAGACAGCGCCCCGTGTTCTCTTCCTGTCCTCCTGCCTTCCGCATGTCCAATTCGGCACTCAGCCCTCCGCGTGCCCATATCCGCACACCCCTCACACGGTTCGTGGCCCCATAGGGAGTTCCACCCAATGCCCCAGTGGCCGCGTTTACATGCGTCCACTCCGCCCACCGTGTGCCCATTTCGGCACATCCCTCGCACGGTTCGTGGCCCCATACGGAGTTCCACCCAATGCCCCAGTGGCCGCGTTCACATGCGTCCACCCCGCCCACCGCATGGCCATTTCGGCACACCTGTCACACGGTTCGTGGCCCCATAGGGAGCATTACACCCGAGGCCCCAGTGGTCGCGTTCACATGCGTCCACCCCGCCCACCGCATGCCCATTTCGGTACACCACTCACACGGTTCGTGGCCCCATAGGGAGCTCCACCCAAGTCCCCAGTGGCCGCGTTTACACGCGTCCACCCCGCCCACCGCATGCACATTTCGGTACACCCTTCACACGGTTCGTGGCCCCATAGGGAACTCCACACAAAGCCCCAGTGGCCGCGTTTACACGCGTCCACCCCGCCCACCGCATGGCCATTTCGGCACAAACCTCTCACGCGTTTTGTGGTCCCTCGTGGAGCTCCACCGCAGGCGTCAGTGGGACCGACCGCGCAGCGCCCCCTCGCCCATTCGGCACCCTCTCACGTTTCGTGTCTCCACAGAGAGCTCCAGCCACGGCCCCAGTGGGCTCGACCGCATAGACCCCCCCGCCCATGTCTGCAGACCCCTCACGCGTTTCGTGGCCCCGTACGGGGCTCAACCGAAGGCCTCGTTGGGCCCGACCACAGCGCCCCCGCGCTTAGTTCGGCACATCACACCCTCACACGTCTCGCTCCCCCCCCCCCCCCTTACGGAAGCTCGGCCTACCGTCTCAGTGGCCGCCGACGTAGTACGGTGCCGCGTCATTCCAGCGCACCCCTCACACGTTTCGTGGCCCCATATGGAGCTCCACCTGCAGCCCCCGTGGCAGGTTCCCCATGACATCGCCGCGCCATTTCGGCACACCCTTCACTTTGGTGGCCCCATGAGGTGCTCCACCTACGGCACCAGTGGGAAGAGCCGCGTGTCCACGATGCCAGGCGGGTGCTTACTTTCGGCCCGTCGACTATAATTTTCGCGGGCACGTCATTCTAGAACGATTGTTGTTGTCCTTGGGGTTGCTGCATTTACTGCTCGTGCTATTGCTGTCGCTGCCACCATCGCATCCGCGGTTCCATTGCTTGCCAATTGCACCCCCTTGCTGCCGAGGACCAGAGCCCAAAGCTACTGTCGGAGAAGATCACTGGCATCGGTTCCGCCCTGGCGTGGAGTCCGTGCGGCCGAAGGACGCATGCGTCCCTATAGCACATCGAAGCACCAGTAACGATTGAACAGGTCACCTGATAGGAGTACGGCTACCCACATATAAGTATATTTCCACACATATATGTACACACATAATATACATATAATATTACATGTATATGTATGTATTTATATATCTATAGTTGAGTGAGCGTGGTAACGTACATGCAATGGTAGTAGTGGTAGTGGTCGCGGTGGCTGTGGTGGCTTTGGTGGTCGTGGTGGTCGTGGTAGCAGAAAAACCGTTGTGCAAGGATACTTGCAGCCGAAATAATGAGGAGACACATGGTATGCGTATGCAGAAGGGTGGACGGAGGACGGATGACATTGGAGCAGGCTGAGGTGATATGCTTAAGGTGGATAGAGGGAGGGACGAACGAAGGCACAATATACAGAGGAGTCAGGACGGGGGCGCGAGGGAATCAGCGACGGACTGAGGGACGGATGGACGGCGAGACCCTTCGGGAAGGGAGGGCGTGAGCGTTGGGAGGGAGTGAGCCAGGAGGGGGTAGTGGAATAGGTAGGGGTGGGAGTATTGGGGCTTCACGAGGAGGAGGAGGAGGAGGAGGAGGAGGAGGAGGAGGAGGAGGAGGAGGAGGAGGAGGAGGAGGAGGAGGAGGAGGATGGCAGCGCCGCAGGATCGCCGTCGGGGACTGCCTGGGCGGGGTGTCCATTTACGACGGCGAATCGGGGGCCGTGCTCCGCTCATCCCGGCTGCACACGCGGCCCGTCGTGGCCCTGTCCTGGGCTTGGCTCTCAGATAAGCCCCGCTGGACCGCCGCCGTTGTCACGCGCGCTGCGGCGATCCCGAATCGTCTTCTCGCTCGCAGCTGGCAGCTCGGATGCGTGACCCCCAGCCGCACTCCCCCGACTCCCCCGCGACCATCCTGGACCCATGCCAGGGTTCTCGCCAGACGACACTTCGGAGTTTTGAGGGATGATTCCCAGCCATCCTGCGGTGTTGGGTCCTCTTTTTGAAGAGACAGCGCCCCGCGTTCTCACTCCTCCTCCTCACCCTCCTCCTCCTCACCCTCCTCCTCTCCTCCTCCCCCTCCTCCCTCCCTCCCTCCCTCATCGCATGCCCATTTCGGCACACCCCTCACACGGTTCGTGGCCCCAGAGGGAGCTCCACCGAAGGGCCCAGTGGCCGCGTCCGCATGCGTCCTCCCCGCCCACCGCTGGCCCGTTTAGGCACACCCCTCACACGGTTCGTGGCCCCATAGGGAGCTCCACCGAAGGGCCCAGTGACCGCGTCCGCATGAGTCCTCTCCGCTCACCGCATGCCCATTTCGGCACACCACTCACACGTTTCGTGGCCCCATGGGGAGCTCCACCGAAGGCCCCAGTGGCCGCGTCCACATGCGTCCTCGCCGCCCGCCGCAGGCATATTTCGGCACACCACTCACACGTTTCGTGGCCCCAGAGGGAGCTCCACCGCCGAAGGCCCCAGTGGCCGCGCCTGCATGCGTCCACCCCGCCCACATCAGGCCCATGTCGGCACGCCCTCACACGTTTGGTGGCTCCATACGGAGCTCCACCGAAGGCCCCAGCAGCCGCGTCCGCATGCGTCCGCCCCGCCCACCACATGCCCATGTCGGCACCCCTCACACGTTTCGTGGCCCCATAGGGGAGCTCCACCGAAGGCCCAAGTGGCCGCGTCCGCATGTGTCCACCCCGTCCACCGCATGCACATGTCGGCACACCTCTCACACGTTTCGTGCCCCCATAGTGAGCTCCACCGAAGGCCCCACTGGCCGCGTCCGCATGCGTGCTCCCCGCCCACCGCATGCCCAGTAAGGGACACCTCTCACACGTTTCGTGCCCCCATAGTGAGCCCCACCGAAGGCCCAAGTGGCTGCGGCCGCATGCGTCCTCCCCGCCCGCCGCAGGCAGTTTTCGGCACACCACTCACACGTTTCGTGGCCCCATAGGGAGCTCCACCGAAGGCCCCAGTGGCCGCGCCTGCATGCGTCCACCCCGCCCACATCAGGCCCATGTCGGCTCGCCCTCACACGTACCGTTGCTGCATACGGAGCTCCACCGAAGGCCCCAGCGGCCGCGTCCGCATGCGTCCGCCCCGCCCACCACATGCCCATTTCGGCACACCCCTCACACGTTTCGTGGTCCCATAGGGAGCTCTACCGAAGGCCCCAGTGGCCGCGTACGCATGAGTCCTCTCCGCCCACCGCAGGCCTATTAAGGGCCACCTCTCACACGTTTCGTGCCCCCATAGTGAGCTCCACCGAAGGCCCCAGTGGCCGCGTCCGCATGCGTCCGCCCCGCCCACATCAGGCCCACATCAGGCCCATTTCGGCACCCCTCACACGTCTCGTGGCCCCAGAGCGAGCTCCACCGAAGGCCCCAGAGGCCGCGTCCGCATGCTTCCGCCCCGCCCACATCAGGCCCATTTCGGCACATTGCTCACACGTTTCGCGGCCCCATACGCATCTCCACCGAAGGCCTCAGTGGCCGCGTCCGCATGAGTCCTCCCCGCCGGGAGCTCCACCCAAGGCCCCAGTGGCCGCGTTCACACGTGTCCACCCCGCCCACCGCAGGCCCGTTTAGGCACACCCCTCATACGTTTCGTGGCCCTATAGGGCGCTCCACGTGTCCTCACCGCCCACCGCATGCCCATTTCGGCACACCCCTCACAAGTTTCGTGGTCCCATAGGGAGCTCCACCGAAGGCCCCAGTGGCGCAGTTCGCATGCGTCTCCCCCCATCCAGTACAGCGTATCGTGGCCTCATAGAGAGCTCCACCGAACGTCCCAGCGGCGCAGTTCGCATGCGTCTCCCCCATCCAGTACACCGTTTCGTGGCCCCATAGGGAGCTCCACCGAAGGTCCCACTGGCGCAGTTCGCATGCGTCTCCCCCGCCTATTACAGCGCTTCGTGGCTCCATAGGGAACTCCCCCGAAGGTTCCAGTGGCGCATTTCGCATGCGTCTCCCCGACCTAATACAACGTGTCGTGGCTCCATAGGGAACTCCCCCGAAGGTTCCAGTGGCGCAGTTCGCATGCGTCTCCCCCACCCAGTACACCGTTTCGTGGCCTTCGAGGGAGATCTACTGAAGGTCCCAGCGGCGCAGTTCGCATGCGTCTCCCCCACTCGGTACACCGTTTCGCGGCCCCATAGGGAGCTCCACCGAAGGCGATACCCACAACTGCGGTATTCACATCTGCGCATGATTGGGTCCTTCGCCAGGCTAATTCGATGAGGGTCTGGTCGGGCGGTTGTCGAAGTTCCAGCAATGGATGGGAGGCGGGGTGGGGGATGGCCCTTCCCTGGGAAGTCGGGTCGTCGTTCGCTCTCCGGTGCTTGTTTTCTGAAGGTGCCCGATGGCCTTCGCTATTGTATCTCCGAGGGCCCAGTCTTTGACAGTGGGCTTAGCATGTTCAGGCGGCTGGCAACGTCGCATGTGCTGGCACCCAGACTTGAAGCGGTGTTGTGACATGCATTTAGGATCGTTAGAAAGTTCGGCCTCCACCGTAGTTCAGGCAGACGTGAATGACCCCACTGTCGCAGGTTTCATGTGTCTGTTGCCCTCTGAACGCTGGACTGTTTCTGAGGCCGTCCTGTTGTTTGCCGTGTCAGCGCATCGCCGAAGTGTATTCAGGATGTGTCCGCCGAGCTCTCCAGGATGTTTCCCCCGGCGGGTCTGGAGGGCGCTTTTGGGCTGTCTCGGGCGCGATGATTCTGCGAAACTCTACAGAAAAGATTCGTTCAGATTATCACGGAGCCGTCGGCAGCATCGCTACGGTGCAGGGGCTTCTGGGGACCCTCTTGAGAGGATGTTGTGGATCTCAGGGCAGTCATGGAACCAACTTGTAGCCCTATTGGGGCGGTGTTGGAGTGTCTAGGGGGTTAATCAGGTCAACTTGTGTCCGTCGTCGGGATTTTTGTTCGAGGCGCTGCGAAGCCATTTTGAAGCCGCATCAGATCCAACATCCAGGGTCGTCGTGGAGAGTTCCTTTGAAACCTCGTCGGTGTTTGTTGAGAAATGTGAGGCCCTCTTAGGGGGGTAGGGGATCTTCGGCCCACCTTGGGCCAGTCTTCGGGCATCTTGCAGCCGCCGACGGGAAGTGTTGGGTGGCTTCCTTGTGACCTTCGATCTTGTGGCCGAGGCGAACACTGATCCTGGTGAGGAAATAGGAAGGGGGGCGACCTCCGACGCGTGGGCGCCAGGAGAGGGGGGTACGCCTTTAGAAATCAACCGAAAATCTACCAGGCAACCTACGTGAACCGAAACACGCCCCAACGTGCCAATGGCCCGCTACAGGTAGGTGGTTTGCGCTGGCGCCTCATCTGACATCCTTCCCCCTCCCTCCCATCCTTTCCCATTGCGCGACACGCAGACCAATACCGAGGCCTCGAAACGGCTTTGATGCAGAGATCACTTAACCAAATCGCGACAGCGGGACCACCATTGACAAGGACCGCGAATGCGCATGCGAGGCCAAGGCTGCAACGGAACGGCACAGCGGGACCATCTGCTCTGAAGGGCAACAATAAGCATCTTGAGATCAACGCGACAGCGGGACCTCCATTCAGAAGGACCGCGAACGCGGACACGAAGCCAATGCTGTAGCAGGGGCGCCATTCTGGAAGGGCCAGGAACGCTGAAGCAGTGCTGACGCAGTAGCAGTAGCGCAACTTCGGCAGGAACCCAACCGATCGATAAAAAACACATACGAAAAACTCGTCCGCGTAAAGCATGTGCCAACAAACGGGTACCCGTGCCTCTGCGCTTCGCCTGAGCGCTCCCCTGACCGCACTGCTCGGCAAGCCTTGTGCTCAATTGGCTTGCCATGCAGAGCTCAAACGCAGCCCAGTGCTGCCTCCAGATACTGCGGTCTCACATTTGCGACGAGTGTGAAACCTACAGATCGAATCCTGCCGAACTTCGCTTGTGAGATAGTGCATGTGTCACGTTTGTATATGCACCACTCGCTGCCGTTTGGCCTCCAGGGGTCCATTTTGCCGTTGCGCTTAAACGCGTCATAATCACACTGGTAGCGGAGCTACCACACGATCCCCGTATCGTACCACTGCGCGCACGTCTCGTCAGAGAGTGTCGCACTACCTCTTTGTACTATCTGTACTGGCAGTGTCCCTCGCTAGGGGACTGCACCTTGCGCCATGGCATTTTCTTCTCTTCGCTATCGTCCGAGCGCCGACGCGCTGACGCGGTCTGATGCGCAGAGTGGCTCCTACAGCTACGTCGGCACGGTGAACAGTTTTCACGAGTGAGACTTCCGCACAAACATGCGCATGAGTGCCGCCTTGGCCTCAGTGGGTCAAGAGACGGGTGCACCACAGCAACACGTGATCACCGCAGCTGTCAACAATGCTGTAGAAGGCCTCAGAGGTGACGCATTCGATATTGCCATGGATATCGGCAGGGACGTACTTCTGACTCCGAATGGGATCGATCAGCTGGTGCTGGCGATTCGTATGTCACCCTTCCCCATAGAGGCGCAGGAAGCGAAGATCCTGTTCCAGCAGGGGCAGAGACCACATGGACCAATGATTCGGCAGCACGGTGAGTCCACGGTCTCGTGCATCTCCCGAAGGAAACGCTGGTGGAAACTTGTTTCCAAGTTAGATCTTAAGATCTTGATGAGCGACGAAATGCTTGGCTCCCTTCTCTTGGGCCATGCAGGCCTTTCGCCTTGGGAGAATCTGGTGGTGTTGGCTTTCGCAGGAAATGTGACAACCTTCGACAATATCAAGGACGTCTTGATCCTC